AGAGGGAGGATTTGGGAATTCTAAGGGGGGTTTGGGGGGATCTGGGGCAAATTGGAGGGAAATCCAGGAAATTTGGGGGGGGACTTGGGGAGTCAGAGGATTTGGGAAGAATTGGGGAATTCTAAGGGGGATTTGGGAATTCTGGGCAGGATTGAGAATTGTGGAAGGGATCGGGAAGAGTTTTGGGGAGAAATTCAGGGAACTCGAGGCGTCAGAGGGAAGATTTGGGAAAGAGTTGGGAATTCTGAGGGGATTTGGAAGAGCTTTGAGGGGGGGGAATTGGGGTGAATTTAATGGATTTTGAAGTTCAGGTGAGTGTTGGAAGGCACCTGGACAAGCACTCGGATCTCCTGGAATATTTCCTGCTGGGAAAATTCGAGGTGGGAGGTAGCACTGGATTTGAGGGGCTTAGGTAGGAACTAGGGGGAATTTCATGGAATCTTTTGGGGTCCAAGTGGGATATTTTAGGATACAGGTGAGTTGTAGTGGAAGCACACCTGGACCAAGAGCCACTGGAGCTCCTGGAATATTCCCCACTAGGAAGCTCCAGGTGGGATTCAGTGAGGGGAGGATTCAGGTGGGATGGAGCAGGATTTGGGTGGAATTCCTGGGATTTTGGAGTTCAGGGGCAGATGTTTTGGGATGCAGGAAGGGGAGTTTTGGGAGGTACCTGGACAAGCAGCTGGATCTCCTCGAATATTTCCTGCTGGGAAGCACCGGGTGGGAACACACGGTCGAAGCTGAAGTCGTAGCGCAGCTCCGGCCGCCGCTCTCGCCCCACGTGGGACTGTGTGGAAAAAAAATGGGAATTTTGGGACAAAAATGGGAATATTGGGGGGGGGGAAAGGGATTTTTTTGAGGAAAAGGGGGAGTTGCAGGGGTAGCAGGGGCAAAAAAGGATATTTTTGCCCCCCCAAAAGTCCTTTTTTGTTTCAAAAAACAGCCTTTTTTGAGGGGAAAAAGGACGTTTTTGAGGGGAAAAAGTAGGATTTTTGAGGGGAAAAAAAAGGGATTTTTGAGAAGGAAAAAGGGATTTTTGAGGGGAAGGAACAGAATTTTTGAGGGAGAAAGAACGGCATTTTTGAGGGGAAAAAGTGAAATTTTTGAGGGGGAAAAGACATTTTTAAAGAGAGAAAAGGGATTTTTGAGGGGAAAAAAACATTTTTGAGGAGAAAAAACATTTATGGAGGAAAAGGGGCCATTTTTGAAAGGGATTTTTGAGGGCCATTTTTGGGTGCACCCTGCTCACCTCATCAGGCCGGGTGAGGACGAGCGCTTTGGGGTCCTGGGGGGAGAAGCGCAGGTGCTGCAGTCCCTGGTGCTGCTCTGACTCCTCTGGCAGCACCGGCCGCACGCGGCAGAACACACGGATGTTCCCCTGGAAAACAGGGAAAAAACAGGATTTAGGGATTTCAGGAAGTTCTGGGGGGGGGGGAGTCCCCACATAAAATCCTCCCCTCCAGGCCCACCTTGAGCTCCTGGATGTCGTTGTGGAGGCGGCGCCGCTCCATCTCCAGCAGGTGGATCCGCTCTTCCTGCTGATCCAGGAGGGATTTTTGGGATCTTTCCACCTCCTGGAGCGCGGCCACCTGGTCCAACTGCATTTGCAGCTGCTCCTGGACCTGCCTCAGGTGAGCCTGGGGAGAGGAAGAGGGGTGAAAATGGCACCAAAAAGGGCAAAAAAAATCGTGGAATTTGGGCAAAATTCCCATGGTTTTCCCAATTTTTCCTGATTGTTGAGATGCCCCAATGGCTTTTGACACCAAAAAGCCGCAATTGGAGCAAATCCCCCAATTTTTTTTCCCCTTTTTTCTCCCACAGTCTGAGGCGCCCCCCTGAGGTATTTTTGGTTGAAACCCAGCAACCTCGGTATAAATGCCCGTTTCCTGCCTTTTTTCCCTCAACTCCTCCCAGTTTTCCAGTCACTCTGTGAGGAATTTTGAGTGCAGAAAACCGGGAATTGATGCTACCCTCAGATTTCCCGCCTTCCTCCCCCACTTTGGCACCCCTTGGTGGGTTTCATATTGGAAAGCACTGAGAAACGGCTCTGAATTCCAAATTTTTTCCCCCCCTCCTCCCCTGGAATTTTTTTTTTTTTTTTTTAATTCCAGGCTGCATGTCATAGCTTCAGGTGGCTGAATTTTTGGTAACAGGGGGCCATAGAGATAATTTCGGTTAGAAGCTACTAGAAGCTTTTGCTGTTCTATGAAAAAGCCAATGAGAGCCAGTTCCAGGATGGAATTCCTACCACTAGTCAATGGTGTGTGCTTCTGTGATAACATATTTAAGAATACAGGGAGAGAAGCTGGAGAGGAGAGGAGAGCAGAGAAGAACATGACAGCAATGAAGGCTCCAAATTCAGTGTAGCAGGAAGGGGAAGGAGAGGCCCAGAGGCCTCCCTCTCCCCCTCCAGCAGGGGAAAGACTGAAAGTCCAGACCCCTGCCACTTGTGTAAGATTACTGGGGTGAGGAGACCCCTCTACAGCTCATGGAGAAGCCTACACTGGAATAAGTGGTTGCACAAGGAAGCTGAGACTTCGTGGGAGGCATAAGATGAAACAGTCTTGTTGGAGACCTGTGGCCCATGGAGAGGGAAACCTATGCTGGAGCAAGTCCCCAGGCAGGACTTGTGGCCCTGTGGGGGATCTACCCTGATGCAGCTGATTTGTGGCTCAAGGGACAGCAGATTATGGAAGAACTGTGGCCTGAGGGATGGACCCATGCTGGAGACGTCTGTCGAGGACTGTGTCCCATGGGGAAGGACCCCACAGGAAACAGGGAGAGGACTCAAAGCCATCACCGTGGCAACAACCATGGTGAAGCAAGTCCATGGAGACCATCAGAATGCAGAGAGAGAGAGAGAGACTTCTGCACTTGATGGAAAAGTGACCCCCCAGGACACTGAAGTGGGAAGAATTCCTGTCTAAGAGATGGATTTCAACAGCGGCAGAAGCAGCCACTGGCTGTGACTTCCTCCTCCCTTTCCCATCTCCCTGCACTGTTGGGAGGACTGGGAACATGGAAGGAAGGGGGGAGTGGAGAAAAGGTGTTGTGTTTTAAGACTGTTTTATCCTTTTCAGTTCTTACTGTTAGCAGTAAATTGAGCTTTTAGTTGAAATCTGTTAGCAGTAAATATAAGTTCTATTCACTTTGAATCTGTTTGCTTGTGACAATTAATTACTAAGCCAGTCTCCCAGTTTTTATCTCTACTCATGAATTCTCTGACTGGTTTTTGCTTTTAGAGGGGGGAGGAGGGGAGAAAAATGGTTTTCAGTAAATGTTTAAAATCCAGCCAGGGCTGAAACCCTGACACTGCACCTCTGTGTTTTCCAGGTTTTCTGACAGTGCTTGCTCCCGAGCTCTGGCCTCATCCCGCTCCCGGCGCAGCTGCTGCTCCTCCTGCTCCAGACGCCGCTTTTCCAGCGCCAAACCCTCAGCCAGGGAGCGGCTCCGCTCCAGCTGCACCTCCAGGGAGCTGAGGGGAAAGCGGGGGGAAATTGCATGAAAATGGGCAATCCCCGAATTTGGGACAGGGCTGGGGGTGTTCAGGGAAGATTCCTGAGGGATTCCAGGGAGGAGGATTTGGGGGCGATTGAAAGGAAATGGTGGGAGATTTCGGGGGATGGTTTGAAGGGCTCTGAGGGGATTCTGTGGCGGCCTTAAGGGAATTGGGGGATTTGGAGGGAATTTTTACGATTTTGGGGGGACTTTCGTGGGAAATTTTTGTGGGGATCCTTAAGAGGATCAAATCTTAGGAAGTTGAAGCAATTTGGGGAAATTTTGGAGCAGCTGGAGGGAACTGGGGAATTTTTGAAGTGTTTGGGGAAATTTTAGGGAGACTGGGGAAATTTCAGGGGATTATTTGAAAGGTTCTGAGGGAATTTTGTGGGATCTTGAGGGGCCTAAGGGATTTCAAGGGAATTTTTGCTATTTTTGGGGGGAATTGGGGGATTTTTTGAAGGGTTTTGGGGGAATTTTGCAGGATCTTAAAGGGTTTGGGAGATTTGGAGGGAATTTTTGTGATTTTGGGGGGGAATTCGGGGAAATTTTAGGGAAACTGGGGAAGTTTGGAGGGATGATTTGAAAGGCTTTGAGGGAATTCTGCAGGATCTTGAGGGATTTGGAGGTCTGTTTTCAGGGATTTTGAGAAGCTTTTGATGGATTCTTCATGGAATTTTAGAGGTTTTGGGTGGATTTCAGGGGAATTTTGAGTAAATTCTGGACAGATTTTAGGTGGTATTTCAAGGATTTCAGATGAATTCCAATGGATTTCAGCTCAGTTCTGAATTTGGTTGGATTTCAGGTGGATTTTGAGGGATCTGGATGGATTTTCAGGGTTTTTTTTAAAGGAGTTTGGGGCAGTTTTGGTGGTTCCCTCACCCCACTCTGAGGCAGCTTTCCCGTCTGGAGGGGGATTTTGAGTGGAATTTGAAGGATTTTTGACAAATTCTAATGAATTTCAGCTCAGTTTTGAATTTGGTCAGATTTCAGGTGCACTTTGAGGGATTTGGGTTTTTTTTTTTAGAGGAGTTTGGGTGGATTTGGGTTGATTTCAGGTGGATTTTGAGGGATCTGGATCGATTTGGGGTTTTTTTCCAAGGCATTTGGGGCAGTTTTGGTGGTTCCCTCACCCTACTGTGGCGCTGAGGTCGCTCTCTCGGCGTTCCCTCTCCATGAGCTTCCTTTGGAGCTGCTCCAGGCGCTCCTGGAGCTGCTGGTTCCCACATTCCAGGTGCTGTTTGTGGCTCTCCAGCTCCCTCAGCCGCTCCCGGGCCTTGCCCAGCTCCTCCCGCAGGTCCCCCACTTGGCCCCGCAGGTCCCAGGGGGGCCTTTTTTGGGGGGCAGGGGGTCTACAGGGGGCTCC